ATTGCTAGCAACAAGGAAGAATAGGCCAACACCCACCTCACCACAACCTCCCTTCAGGCAGTTGTAGAGAACAGTGAGGTCTCCCAAAGCCTCCTCTTCTTCAGGCTGAACAATCCTAGTTCCTTCAGCTGCACCTCATAAGAGCTGTGCTGCAGAGCCCTCACAGCTTTGTAGCCCTTCTCTGGGCAGCCTCCAGGACCTCAACGTCTTTCTTGTAGTGATGGGCATAAAACCGAGCGCAGTACTCAAGGTGTGGCCTCACCAGTGCTGAATACAGAGAGAAAAACACCTTCCTGGTCCTTCTGGCAACACTGTTTCTTATATAAGCCAGGATGCCATTGGTCTTCTTGGCTACCTAGGCACACACCGCTGGCTCACAGTCAGCCAAGTGTCAACTAACACCCTAAGGTCCATTTTCTCTACAGTCTTCCAGCCGTTTTGTTTTGTTGTCTACAGTGAGCAGATTGCAATATCAGTCCAGAGGACCACAACACTTGAAAACAGACTGTGAGAATCTGACATAAAAGTCTGTGAAATTCAGACTGATGACAGTATGAAATAAGATTAGATTTAAAACAAAGAATACACTTAACTGAAAAGAATTTTTGCAGAAAAGAAATTAGAAAAGGAAGACAAATTTGGCCTGGTTCCTTTCCTGTCTGCCTCTACAAGTACAGTATTTTCACCTTACTCTAGTACCTCACCTTTGCACTTGTTTTTCCTCATTGCTTTTTACTCATTCCTTGGACACAGACAAGCTATACACTCATTTAACAAAATGAGAATGGAGGAAATTTGAAATACTACAACACAAAGTTGTAGTATTTTTTTAAGTAGCATAAAATTGTAGGGAAAAAAAAAGGTTTTTACTGTTGTTGGGATGATCAGAACAGCAGAATTAAAGAAAAAGCAGCATTGAAACCTTAAGCAAAAGTGAAAACTATAACGTTAGTGGGCCAGCGTCCAGCAGGAGGAGCCTCTGAGCTTCCTATATTGATTTTGTCTTTTTTTTTTCCTGAAAAATTACAGGGAAGCCACTACAATATGGACAGAGCAGACAGTATCAACTTAAAATTCTTTACAACAGATCCAAGTTTGCACCTCAGTTTTTCCATAAACATCTTCCTTTCAGAATGTATTACTTTTTAAAGTTGAAGTTTAATTAAACACTAGGTCTTGTTTTACAGATCTGTAGTACCAAAAGGAGAGACTTTCTGATCTGCTGGACATATCCCATTATAGAATAGCATACTATTTATATTCATAAAAGATATCTAGTAAAACTCTTCAAGACTTATTTACTGTTTTATAAGGCACTCTCATCAGGAGAAACATTTGATCTACTAGTTTTGGTGTATAAAACCAAGCCTTTCCTACTTGAGGATCTTGAAGTAATTGCTGAAAGTGTTAGGCTCCTTTTAGGCATCAGGAAACAGATAAGCTAGGAAGAACAGACTGGTCACATAGCAAGGATATAACAAGCCTGTTACAGAAGAAGGAATAAAAGGCATACCTTCCCTTTCAATTTCTCTAATACCATTTTTCAATTCTGTACTTTTCAAACTGGCCCACAGGTCAACAGCAAACTTTCTGGCACTTTTCAGAACAAAGTATTTCATGTTCAGAGATCCAAACTAAAGTAAGGACTAGATTCAGACGCTAGACTTAGAATAATATCTGACACATCTAGACTTAAAAGGCATCCTAAAAAGGAGGGGGAAAGAATGTTGCTTACTGGAAGGCATTGTAAATGGCACCTATACCACAGACATGAGTTCTAGAATGGAGTTACCCTGATCTTGATTCTAACTTACATTCCTTGGTAATGCACACTGTACAAACCTGCCTCTAACAAAATGGTTTCTGTATTTTTTTATCACTGTCCATCCATCCTGTTAATCTAACATATAAAGGTGAAGCATTGGCAATACAGGACTACTTCATCAGATATTTCAATGGAAATCACACTTGCAATAAAACTGACTATCTAAAGTCTTTGTTCTTTGAGCTCCCAGATCTAACGCCATCGATATCTTAGTTCAATCCTTTCTGTCAGACAGGGTTAACTTACCCTAATTTGTGAAGCAATTGGAGATCCTCCACAGCAAGTGTATTGAACGCAAAGTACTATTTAATCTCTTACCGACAACCTAAAGTGAGATGGGGCATGAGTAAAAAAGAGAGAGGTACAAAAGAAACGTTACCAAGAAGTGGGGTGACAGCTGAGAAAGTTTCCCCTCAGTCTACGCGTTTTCACTGTCACATTCACCTACCAGCGATGAGGATAACTGATGCTACCTAGGGAGAAGTGTCGGAGTGAGGGGGTTCCCTCAGTCACCTGGGCTGCTGGACACGAACACACAGCTTCACCTCCTTATCTAGCACACCGCTGGGCAGAGAAAACCGATCCCAGAGTCCCCCACTACCGAGAGCAGCCGAGGAGGTCGGCGGTGCTCCCTGAGAAGAAGGGCGAGGCTGCCCTCCCTCCCGGCCAGCTGGCTGGGGAAGGCGGGGATTCTGCCGCCTCCACAGCTTGCCGCCCGGCTTCGGGGCCCGTTGCCCTTAGTGAGAAGCCGCTTCGCTTCTCTCCACCCACACCGGCTTCTCGCGTGCGGCCGCAGCCGCTTTCCCTCGCTTGGGTTTGAACTGCCCGCCTTTACCAACCGCTCCGCGCTGCCGCCCCAGGGAGCGGCGCAGCTCTAAAGCGAGGGTGGGGTGGGGGATGGCCTGAACAGCGCTGCTCTAGGGATAGGGACGGCTACGTTCTCCTCGCACTTTATACTCCAACTTCGCGGCTCCCGCCGCTCCCAGCCCTCCATAAAGCGCCCCGGTGCCGCCCGTCTGCCCGTCCCGTTCAGCTGCTCCTCTCAGGAGCCGGGGCGAGGCGTTCCCGCTGCTCAGAGCCGCTCAGCTATGTGGGGCGGGCGGGAGGCACCGCCAGCGGGTAGCCCGAGCCTTCACAGATAGAGCGTTGTCTGCACCGGGATCTTTAAGCCCGAGTTGTAGGGGTGCTAATTAATTCACGTCAATTAGCTTATTTGTACCCGACAGCTCAGGAGCTAAATAATCATACACAATTTCTGTTTTTCTTTCCTAGCAAGCTTACGGCTTTCTTCCTCCACCAGAAAACAGCGTGAGGTGAAACAGGCTTTAAATCGTTGGGCGTAGCTCCTGGAGTAACGCCTCCGCCCAGGGCAGAAACGAAGGCTGCGCGGGGCGGGCGGGCTCCATCCCCACAGCGCCTGCGGGCTGAGCAGAGGCGCCGTAAGGCGGGCCGGGGGCAGCGAGCGTTGCAGAGCATTCCCTGCCCAGCGGGGGGAGCGGGGAGCCTTTGTGTACGGGTTGTGCGACCGGAGGGCACCTGTAAGGGTAAAATGATCGGGGATTTTGCCATGTTTCCCCATTCCATTTTAGAATGAGAATTGAAGAGTTCAGAAATGGAACCCAGGATTTCCCAAAGTGCTTTCGGTAGCAGCTTCACGCGAATCGGAAGAATTTCTCTTACGTATTCACGGAGGAAATGGGCCCCTCTGCGAGGCCGAGGAGCATTTAAGCGCATATGCTAAACGTCCTTTGAGGACCGGCGTTTATCAGCCCATCTGAACCGGGCTGTAGCCCGAGGGAGGCGGCGTGAAGCACAAACGGAGAAAGTAATGGACATTTAAAGACTCCCCCCTCACCGAGGGAACAGTTAAATGATGGATATAATCAAGCGACTGCATGATTTCCTTGAGACAATCGACTTTCTCATGGCATATAATTAGTAAGTAGGTTTTAAAGCATCGTCTCGATGCTTTAATCATTTCGTCAAACCCGTTTTAAAATACAAAACGAATGCGGGGAAATACTATCGGCTTTATTCACTAATTTAAATGTTTGGTTACTTCTGGAGTGTTAATTACTTAGCCTCCATCAGCAGAGGAAGGGATCGTTCCGGTTTTTTTTTTTTTTTGCTCTCGGCAGCAGCTCCCATTTCTGAGGACCGCAGCGGAGGACCAGGGGCAGCGAGCATCACTGCCGTGCACGTCCTGTTTTTCTTGCACGTGTTTTATTCTGACACTCAGAAGTTAGATTTAGCTTTATTTTCGCACATCAGCATGACAAAGCTGATGAGCAGCCTAGAAATCGTTAGTATGTTCCTTATTTTAGCTTAAATACAAAATGAGGAAAACCGTAAGTATCTATTGTTTCTCAAGTTTGTTTTACGTGACTTACAGCTTATCCATCTGGGTGATTTGCTGTTATGAGAGAATCAAATTATAATTGATCGTTTCCCCAGGAAATAATTCTTATTCGCAGTTCGGAAAGAGGCATTTCCTTACATCAGGGGGATTCCTGAATGATGAACTCGTTTTGTAAATATTGAACAGTATTTGTTAAACATTTTCCAGGCGTAAAGCAGAATTCCTACGGACTTGAGGACATGTGATTACTCCCCCCGGACGCCTGCGGAGCACGATCCTACAAATAGTATTTATATACAGCACCGCGGCTTGTCGGTTTGTTTCAATGCGGGGATATACGGCACAGCCCGCAGGGTACCGAGATTTAGTTGGTAGTCATATATATCTTAGATAAAGAGTTTCTAAGCACGAAAAGGATGGCGAAGTAAAACTCATCGGCCGTAAAACCCTTCACTCGTATGACGAGACCTGTGGCAGGATTTAAGCTAAACACGCAGCTGTCTGCTTTCTCTGTAGGACACAGAGAAAGGAACTTTTCTCATAGAAAAAGCCGGCGCTCCCGGGTCGCACAGCTCCCTCATGTATACCTCCCAGCGTACGGCGCCTATCTGGTGGCCTAGGAATATTCTCCTCCTATATATCTCTCCTCTCTCAGCGCCGGTTCGTGGCTACCAGCGCCAGGCTCAGCTCCTCAGTGCTTCCCTCCCTCTCCCTGCCGAGGCTCCGCGAGCCGCTAACCGCTGTAAGCCCTCCACAGCGCGTAGGGACGGCGGCGCAGGCCCCGCCCCCTGGCGCTGCGCAGTGACGTCATCATTCAGCGCCGAGAGGACGGTAAGGCGTGTGCGGGCCGGTGGCGCTTTCGGCTTCTCCCTGTCGGTCTGGTGCCCTTCGTGGTGAGCAGTGAGTGGGGAAAGGGCTGCCCAAGCCCGTTAAAACCGCTGGGGGTGAGCGGGGAGGAGGCGTGCCTGGCGCTGAACCGAGGCGGGTTCTGGGGGCAATGTTGTTTTCAAGCACTAAGGAGTGACTGCCAAAATCTAATTGTAATCTACTGGTATAACATGACTATATTGCATGTATGTTAAGGTTCTACAGTGATAGCAATAAAGCAAAGCATTATAGAGTTTAATGGATTATCTCGAATTATCTTGAATGAAGTGGCATAATAGCAGGTGGGATTTGGCATTTACTAATCAGCCTCTCAGCAACAAAGAATGAAATATTTCTGTCAAACCTCCAATTCTCAAGCCATTAGTGCATTTAGATTGGGATGGGGAAACTACAGGTCAGGGACACGTACTAGGAAATTTACCAGAAGCGTCCCATAACCAGGCTGAGCAACCTCAAAGAAAAACAAAACAAAACATGAATATATTTGTATTCTAGCCTAGATTTTACTGGGAGGGGAAAAAAAGAGTGCTTTCTTTCTCTATATGGCTACAACCTCAACATATATGTCTGCAGCAGTGCTTAGATGTTAGATGGAGGTTGCTAAAAAACAAAATGTGGAGTAGTTGTCTGATACTGTGAAGGAATACTTGAGTCCAAGTAAGGTTGAGCAACCTAAACTGTTACAATAAGAAATGAAATGATGCTTGGAGAGTACCATTGGTTATCTAATAGTTGACCAATTGGTAGTTCTTTTAGAATTTTCATGGAATTTCTTCTCCCTCATCCCCATTTATTCATTTCTTTTAAGTGGCTATTATTCTACCTACAGACAGCTCCAGGATTTCTAATCAATTAGATCAGTGAAATGGTAGATTGGGGTATCTAGTGTTATGAGAGAGAAAAAATTGAATTAGTTTTTGTTTCCAGCAAGGTTAAAACTCTTACCACCAGCAGAAGGGAGGAAAGAAAATATTAAGTGAGCATTACTGTTTAAAATTTTCTTTAATATAAAACAATGTGCAGCCTCCATCTTCAAAGCTTTTTGAGAGCTGATTGTAAAGACCTGAGCTGACTGTTTTGAGGAGGAAGTTGAACCAGATGAATTTCTGAAGTCTCTTCCAATGTGAATCATCTTACGTAGCATGTATCAAACACAGCTTGAATATTTTTGTATTTATTTTAAAATAAGTTTTTCAACTTCTGTCAACTTTAGATGGAGATATTTGAAATATTTGCGTAAGCCAACAACAAAAAACATGTATTTTGTTTGTTGTTTTTGTTTAGAACATGGATTCACAGAAGGATGTTCAGCCTCCAAAGCAGCAGCCAATGATTTACATTTGTGGAGGTAAAGAAAAGACATTAATGATATTTGATGCTCTAATACTGGGGAATGCACAATCATAGTGCTGCAGAGTACAGAAATCTACATAACTGTGTTGTGGATCCTGATGATCCATTAAGCTTTATGCACTGATGCTCCCACATGCATGGACTACCTGTGGATATCAATATGGAAGTTGTTCACTAGAACTTCTGTTGCTGTGTGGAGGTCCTGCATCTCTAGAGAATGATAGTGGAACTTCTATTTATTGCATCTTGGAGACAAAGTTTTTTGGAAATATAGTGTTGTCACTCAACTTTTACTAATGTGCAGTAGTCAAATTTTCTCTTACCTATACATAAGTTTATAAAGTGAAAATTGGAGCTTTTGAATAGCCACTTTAAAAGCCTTTGAAAAATTTTGGCTTAAGAAAATAAACTTCTGTGCTTTAGCAATGCTGTTTTTGTTCATCCACTGCCATTCTCTTTCTCCATCATATCAGAATGTCATACGGAAAATGAAATAAAGGCAAGAGATCCAATCAGATGCCGAGAATGTGGGTACAGAATAATGTACAAGAAAAGAACAAAAAGATGTATCCTTTTACAAAGGTAATTGAATGCATTTGGGGAGCTGTGGGGGCAAGGTGTGTAAGAAAACTGAAAATGAGAGTAATGATGCAAGGATCCTTCAAGACCAAAAATCAACACATCGAACTACTATAGGGACATCTCTGGTGTGTAATTCAGGACATTGTTTTTTAGTACTTTTAGTTTTCCATTTTTTAAAAAAACTATAATTAATAATCTTGTGTGACATATTGTGGATGTTTTCTATTATACAGCCTTTTAAAAAGGAAAGTTGTGGGGTTAATTATCAGAGCATTTCAGAAATTATTTATACAGTTACCTCTGACTTCAGATTTATGCATTCTCTCTTTTCATTCTCCCTGACCCCTTTCCTCTTCTTGATCTTTTTTGAACTGCAGTATATTTTTCTTTAACTGCACAATTCCAGTGGTGGTTTTTGATGCCCGGTGATTTGACCTGAAGATATATTAATTTTATACTTCAGTATTTCTGGCAACTTTGCTCTGTAAATCCATTGGTGTATAAATGCATAATTTTGTGGTTTAAGATATTGAAATATTAAACTTTACTGTAATATTACTTGTCATACCATTGCAATTCTGTCTATACTACTTTCAGAAACAGATTTCTTACTTAAATTTTAGTCTGTTAAATTCATTAGTATTATATTCATTTTTCAGTTAAGTGTTAGCCTTGTTTTCACAACTCTCGCCTAAATCTTGAGTTTTAACTCTTTTCAGTGTTTTTTGGACTCCTGTGAACTGTATAAAATCTTGATTTGAATAAATCCCAGTGAAGACATACTGAAGGCAACACAAAATCAGGTCTGAAGTTTGGATTTGAACTCGACAGGACCCAAATTGGGATAAAAATTAAGAAATGTGTAAACGCAAATTCTCAGACTGCTTTGTAACCTTGGTTGTACTCACCAAAATAAGTAGGTCTATAGTATAAAAATACCTTGGATAAGGTAAAACTGAAATAACATCATTTTGCTTTTGTCATGAGTCTGTAATTAGAAATGGTTGTTGTTTTGTACTGATAAGCCCAAACTTTTTGCATCCCTTTTCCTGTTTGGTGTATTTGCTAAGTAATACTAAAATACCCATTGTGCTGATGTGTCTTACAGAACACTGCTGCTTTGTGCCTGATGCTAATTCAGCCTGATTAAATGCTTACAAATCCAAATTTTGATGCTAGTGCTGATGAGACTGTTGAAAGACAAACTGTGTTATTTCACTGCTGTCAGTACGGTATGACACTGCTGTTAGGGAGTGTGCAGAAGGCAGCAGGGATGGGTTTTAGTGAGGGTAACATAAGGTTATGGGCAATGGTGAAGCTCGGGGCACTTGGAAGAGCACTAGATCGATTCGGACTGGATAAAATACACTGAAAGCAAACCAGTGGTGTTTTATGAAACCTGAAACCTAACTGCCGTATTTCTGAAGGGAATACCCTGAAGTCAAATCAGTTCTAAGACCAAAGAACCTTTTCATTTATCAGTACAATGCTGGAAATTATATTTAATAAAATACGAATTAAAACAGTGGCACACGTTTCTAAGAGGCAGAACGCTAGAGAGCTGACCGTCTAGAGACCGCGCTGCCAGAACCCGCCGCACCCCTCAGCCTAGGCGCGGGAATCGCCTCGTACCCCGCCCCACACCGCCGCGCTGCGCTCCTTCGCCATCACTGCGCATGCGCGGGTGAGGCGGGCGTCCACGGAGGAGGTCAGGGCTGTGCGGCGCTCGGGCAGGTGGGTGTCGGGGGCCGTCGTGCAGCGCCGTTACCTCCGCAGAGAGCCGGCGGGGCTCTGCGGGCGCATCGCAAGGTGGTGCTGTGTGGGTTCCCGCGACTTCTCTGTCGATCGCCTCCGTGCCGCCGGCCGCCATGTTGTACATAGCAACGGTTGCTACGTTGCGATTGCTGCTTCTCTGTAGGCTTCTGGGAAGAACAAATTGTGTTATCAGGTCTTCAAATCGGAAATTTTTCTTTTGTAATAATAATTCTACTGCAGATAGTACTTTGTGGCATAAACGCGGCTATTCTTTAAATTAGCATAGCTTCAAAATACATCTAAGTGCCCAGAGATTTTTTTTTCTCTTAATGTTTAGTTATTGGTAATGAGTCAATAATGTATTCGCTGGACCAAGGAACTACTAAAACATATCAAATACCTATTGGTCATCTCGACTACAAGTTCATTGAAAAATGTACAGACGTTCAACACCTGGAAAAGATTCTCAGGGTACTAAGGTAAACGTTGTCTTTTCTTAACTTTGTTACTAATCATATTCCCATTCTATTTCACTTGAACCTCTTTGCGACTTTCCCATTTAAAAACTTGAAATTAAAATGCAGTGTGAAAGTAATGTGTTAAAAGTGCCCAGATGGTTAAATGAAGAGTTAGAAATTCAAGTCCTCATTTAACCCATCAAAGAGGTTTGATAAATCATGCCAGCTTTTTCTCAAATTTTGCTACTGCGTTTTTACGGAATCACATCTTTCCTATTTGTGGCAATATCAGATGCTATGCCTGTTCCACTTCTGCTGAAAATTACAATGACATTTTTTATGAGTACTTGGACTGTATTTGTATGTCTGCTGGAAAGTGGTTAACTGAAATTTTCTGATCAAAATCAAGGGGTGATAGATTTCAGTTGCAACAGGAAAACAGCACTCTGCAGTCACTGTATACAGAAAAGTACAGACATTTGTGGGGAATGCAGCATAATTTAGTTCTCTTGTGTAACTTACACGTGTTCATTTTAAAGGTCTGGTGAAGAGGGATGTTATCCTGACCTGACGTTGTTTTGTGAAAAGCGTATTGAGCATTTAGCTCCAGGGAGCAGAGTTCTCAGAAAAGATAAACCTGCAGCCACAGCAGCTGATTTTACAGCTGAAGAATGGGAAACGATTAATGGTGAACTGATGGTACAGTATGACTCTAGTTTATAGTGGTCAGTAATGTAATCTCTTTGTTTTATCAGCTGTGAGTGGTTGTTCAACCTCATCTTGTGCTTAAGTAGAAAGTGATTATTTGATTAAATGAGGAAATGATAGAAGGGTTCTGTTGTGGTTTTCTTTTCTAATTTTTATTGAGATAATGCTAATGAATCTTTAATACCTGTTATAACTCTACAGAACATATTTGTTTTTTATTATTCATTTGAAATAGCTCAAAACAATTGCAAACTGCACATAGGAAAAGCACTTTTCACTATCTGTTCAAGAAAATGCATATGATTTTTCTATACTGTTCAGTGTAGGAACTGAAGATCTCTTTATCCAACTGAAAATTTTGAAGAAGTCTAGATGGGCATAAGCATTTTAGATTATATTATTTTATCTGAAAAACAGAATCTCTTGTAGTGTTATTCCTCAATAGCACATCTTACCTGTGATAGAAAATCCAGATCTGTATAATACAGAATCTCAGAATTGTAGGAGCTGGAAGGGACCTCCAGAGGTCATTGAGTTCAGGCCCCCTGCCAAAAAAGGCTCCTTACAGTAAGCTGCATAGGTGGACATCCAGGCAGGACTTGAATATATCCAGAGGAGGAGAATCCACAACCTCCCTGGGCAGCCTGTTCCTGTGCTCTGTCACCCTCACTGCAGGAGTTCCTTCGCATACTGGTGCAGAATTTCCTGTGCTCCAGTTTATGACCCCTTGTCCTGTCAACACAGACCACTGAAAAGAGGTTAGCCATTGTCCCACACTTAAGATATTTATAAACATTAATAAAATTCCCTCTAGGCTTCTTTTCTCAAGGCTGAAGAGACCCAGGTAACCCTGCCTTTCCTCAAAGGGGAGATGTTCCAGGCCCTTTATCATCTTTGTTGTCTTCTGCTGGACTCTTTTCAAGAGATCCCTGTCTTTTTTGTACCGGGGAGCCCAGACCTGGACAGAATACTCCAGGTGAGGCCTGACCAGTGCAGAGGGGGAGGATCACCTCCCTCAACCTGCTGGCCATGCTCCTTAAGTAATGAAGTAATGCTTTTTATGGCCCAGAAACAAACATGCTTTGAAAGTGCAGCAGCAAAACTAATCTTATGAGAAACTAAACAAAACTATTTTAAAATACATTATATGAAAAGACAGGTGAATGCTTTTTTTGCTTTCTAAATCTAAAGGGGTAGAGGCAAGTTTGTTCGTAGCCTGTTCTAATCAAATTATGCTATTTCTTTTTGAGACTATTTGTTTTCAGTCTTTTAAGGATGATTCTCCAAGTGCTTCTGAATATTAGAAGCACTTCTGCTTTTATTTTTGCATGTTTCTCTTTATAATGGTTCCCCTTTTTGGACTCTAAAAGATGATAAAGGAAGGTGTACTTGTACTGTGTTGATCATTAAGTTTTCTTGAATTGGCAAAGTTATGAACAGAAATAACCCTTTTAATTTAAGGAACTTAAGCTCATGTTTAAGCTTTTTAAGCTTGATTTTAAGCTTTATTTTTAATCTTCATCTTAATTGCTTTTCCTCATTAAGAGCTTTGCATTGTAAGGATAGTTGCAGGGTCATTGTAGACTAATGATGTGTATCTGTTGTACAGCTTTATGGTATGGATTCTTGCTTATTTTCAGAGCTGGGTGGCAGAAATGAATGAAGATGATAATAAACCACAGGTTTTAAAAACAAGCACACTGCATGAAGGACAAGATAACTTGCCTCCTATTCGTTGTTCCAGCAGCTGTCTTCCTGCTTTCCAGGTAACTCCAATTTTCTAAAACATTATTTTTACATAAGTATGTTAATTATGTCTTTCTAACATCAGTGAATTCAGATTTTAAGAACTTCTATCCATTGAACCTCTCTTACTAGATTTATTTTGTTAACCAGAAAATAAAACCCTTTAAGCTGTCTCATAAGAGACCAATGCTTAAACAAAGCTGCCTCTTACATACTAGCATGCATCTTGTAATTATATTTTAATCTTGATCAACAGTTAATTTCTGAAGGAAATCTTAAACACCCTTTTTATGTACAGTTCACATTTCAGGTAGTGTTAAATGGTATATACTAGGTTTATTTTGCAGGTGGTTTTTTTTTTTTTTACTGGTGTGGAGTCATGGGACATATTTTCCACAAATGAATGAGGAGTGAGCTTTATAACAGAATTTCCCTCTCTTACATGATACAGAAGTTTCTGTATTAACAATCCTGTTTCTGTTTCACACTGCCTTGGATTTTTAGGCTACATCTATATTGCAAAATAAAAGAGGATCAGGGAGACAACTTGATTATTATTTTTCCGATTGTCCAGATTGCTTAATCATTAGTTTTGCTCACTTTCTCCAGGACCATGTTCTAGAAGCATGGGCTTAGAAGTATTCACTTCCAAAAAGCAGTATGGATGAAATTTCAGCAGATGTAGGTTCTTTGCCAAACACAGTACTACAGTGCAGGACGTGCAATGCACATTCCAAGTTTTGTTTTAGGAAACTCCTCTGTTATGTTATCAGCCCTCATATTATTTTGGATACTCCAAATTGAAAAAGAATACTGGTTAGCTGGCTCGGAATAGTAACTTCTGTCACAAGGGACCCAGCAGATATCCAAGGCCAAGTTTTTGCATCTGAACTAAATCCAGTCTGTGCTGCATTTTTTGGTCTAGTAATTATTCACTGAGCTACAGACCCTATGGGATCCATGCACTGAGAGTTCTAGCAAGAAAAATGACAGTGGCAGAGGGTTTTCTGGCTATAGTACCAAGTACCAGAGAAAAGTTAACACAATATGCAAGCATAACCTTTTCATGAGAGGCTCTTGGATGAGGACAAACGAGAAATTCCTGACTCTGCTGTAGCCCTGGTTTGGTTACAATGACCTCAAGAATGTGAGACCTAGAATATTAAGGATTTTTGAAATTTTAAGTCAACACTTCTGCTTTATTCCATTAAAAGACACACTGTAGTTCTCTTGCTGTATTAAAGTTGCATTTGTGTATAATATGTCATGAGTTTTCTTCTGAGTTTAACCATATGCTCATTTAAGCAATGTATTTATATTTGAAAAAAAGTTTGTAACATACAGAATGCATACATAATGATATCGTTTTCTAGGAAGCCATATTTAGGTTACCTTCTCCAAACACGCATTAATCACTAAACGTGTTTGTTGTTTTGTCTAGCTTCTTGAACATTATGTGTAATTCTGAAGTCACATACTACAAAAGTTTATGTAACCTAGTATTATAGATAGCTGCAAGTGTTTATAGGAAGGCACGCATTTGCATTATGTAAATTGAGGTGCTTATATTCAGCTGCAGAAGTATTTCCTTTTAACAGTGTCACACCGGTAAATCTAGCTTAAGAGGTTGCTGCTGCTGGTTTCCTTGATTCAGTTTATCGTGTGTCACTTGCACTGGTACAGATGTTTAGGGGTTGCACTTTAATCTCTATCAAATTGTTTGAACCCACATAATTGTAAATCTGCAATCCTACAAACAGTTACACTGGTCTAACTTGGTGAGAGATAGATTGCAAGGTAGGAGGAGGGTTGAACAAACAGCAAAGAGTACATGCGAATATTTTGAACTGGCTGTTCCACAATGGAATCCTGTTTGGAACCACACCTTGTTGAATGTTGGAGTCAACAAGCAGGGAGAGACGTATCAGAAACGGTCTGGCAAAGGTGGAGGAAGAGATGCCAAAGGTGACAGCTATGGAAATATGTTCCACTGGGATAGGAGATGGGTTGCAATAGATGCCAGCTGAGTCAGTTATTGTGATGGATTGTTGAAGGATAAATTATCCTAAGGATAAATTGTAGGTGAGGCAAATACCAGTGGTGAACCTTGTCTAAAAACAAGAATGAGTGTAAATCATCTTGGAAATTAGCTCAGTTGGAATGTATCAAAGAAGTATAAAGATGCTATCTAGAAGTCAAAGCAAATGTTCATTTTATGCTTGTTTGGAAGCCTCCAGAGGCTGTGAGAAACTGTGCATTGCATTCTCTTGGGAATGGCAAGCCTAAAATGAGGTTAGTGATTCAATCTCAGCATTAAACATCTCATTACAAAGGCAGAGTTTCCCAAGAGTAAATAAAGTTCCTTGCTGTGTTGAAAATATAGTTTGGAAGATGGCAATTCAGTATACTTTTTAGAAAGAGCAGTGTCCTGTGTGAAAAATTTTATCCAATGCCTCTGTGATGTGTAACAGGGCAGTGCAGAGAAAGTCTGATTAGAATTGTACATCAAATGCATAAGGATGTTCTTTAAAGCTACACAAACTAAATATTCAAGACTGTGCTGAAATTAGTCATGGCTGTAAATTAGTAGGGATATCTATCACAGAGAAGAAAAAAGGTGAGTTTTTTCTTTTGAAAATTATCTTATAGGCTGGCTGTTTCTTTTTCAGAATGAAAAGTTCCAAGACAAACAAAGAAATAAGAAAAATATACCACGGGATTACAGTGAATGGGATAAGTATGTCATATCCTTTATATTTTAATTTTTATTAACTCTTACTTATTTTATAATGAAACACAATGGTTTGTAATGAGTCAACAGAAAATACAAATGAAATCTGATTTTGTTTAATATTTCTTTTTTTCTTTTTCCAACATCCAAAATATAAAGCCTATGGAGGTACATGAAGCGGGAAATTAAAGGTAGCTTAATTTATCACATTTTCAAAATAAAATAATGGTAACACATCACAGATTGATGCCCCCAAATTATTGAATGTGAAGGAGGTATACTTCTGTGTTATGAACAGTAGCAGTTTCCCTGCAGCTCTTTAAATGGTGCTGTAGAATCACAGAATCATAGAATCAGACTGAAGATACATGCATTTCCATGCTCTTGGTGGGGAGCTTAATCTAGAGACAGTGAGGTTGGTGATGAAAATTTTTAATATCTCACTCTGCCACCAAAAAAACTCTACAGAAACCGTGTCTGCTTAAGACCTGCATATAGTATATTCTCATAGAATCATAGAATTGCTCAGGCTGGGAAAGACCTTAAAGATCATTGAGTCAAACCACAACCCAACCATACTACTCTACTAACAACCCTCCGCTAAATCATGTCCCTGAGCACTGCATCTAAATGGTTTTTAAACACATCCAGGGATGGTGACTCAACCACCTCCCTGGGGAGCCTATTCCAGTGCTTAGCAACCCTTTCTGTAAAGAAGTTTTTCCTGATATCCAACCTAAACTTACCCTAGCACAACTTGAGGCCATTTCCCCTCATCCTGTCACCTGTCACCAGTGAGAAGAGACCAACCCCGCTCTCGCTGTAAGCACCTTTCAGATATTGGAAGAGAGCAGTAAGGTCTCACCTCAGCCTCCTTTTCCCCATTTCCTTCAGTTGCTCCTTGTAGGGCATATTCTCCAAGCCTGTGTCATGCATATGCACTCCAAAAACTGTGGTCTTCCTGCTCAAATGTGATTAAATAAGCGGATTATCAAATAACTTCTGCAACAATTCATTTTTCATCCTTTTTTACTCTGTATCATTTGAAGTAATCGTTTTTTAATGTTACTTGCAATTTTATGTATGTGCTCAACCATTGTCCTTTAAGATGCTGATAATAGTGGATTTTCCTGTAGAGTATATAGGAAATATTTTGGATAATGTGGGTATACTGAAACAGAAGTTGTTTAGACTGTTCCTGAACAAGAAAGTTTTTACTTATTTAAAAATCATTGTTTTGAAATGTGATTAATTTATAATGAAAAAGTGAAAATAGTGAAAGATCAGATTTAAAAGAGAGCACAGTTAGTCTTACCTGAAGAGGTTTTGAATTGTGTAATTTTTCTGAATGATGTCCCTATTTCAGAAATTATTCAGGTTGTTGAGATTATTGTGGAAAACAAAGGTTATTTTCCATTAAGTCATAAATAGAAAAGCGGTGTAGTGTAGGAATAGGTTATTACTCTATTTGTTTTATAGGATTACAGCAGCAATATTTATTCAGTATAAATTCCTAAGCACTTCTCAGAAGCTATCTCAGAGTAACCTTAGAAATATCTGAGACTGTTCTGAAATCTCTTTCAAGTTTATGCTGTTAAACACAATGAAACTGTTTATTCAGTGTTTTCAATAAAGCTTAATACAGATATTTGACAGGACTGGAATTGAGCCTGAAGATACAGTTTCATAAATTTCACCTGCCTTTATTTGGAGGTGGTGGGCAGGGGAGGCAGATATTTTGCTGGTTTTTAGTTGTTTGGTTTTGTTTATTTTTAACAAGAAGAGAGGATGAAGGAATATTTGTTGTCTATTGTTTATATGTATGTATGTTTACATTTGTGCACCTGTGTGTATATATATGTATGTTTATATATTTGTATGTATGTAAAATACACATAGAAATGGGAGAAACAAACAATAACACAAGGAAAGGGGGTAAGACTAAACATCTTTTACATAACAAGTAATGAATAATTGATCGCTGCTTTTATGCCTGCTTAGCTTTAGTTTATAATGGAAATATTGTATGCTGTTCTAAAAATAGAGGACTTTTCTTCTGCAACATTGCTGTATTTGTTATTTGTATTAATTTAAGGTTCGATGTGGAAAAGGAGTGTTCTAAAATTGATGAAAGCAGTGAAGAAAATAACTCAAAAGCGAGATTCTCTATTAGACCAAGTCTACCTCTAATTGAGAAGAAAATAAACACAACTGGTAATGTCCTACAAGCATATTTTTTTATTTTCTTTGATTGTAGTACTCTGTTGTCAAATGTGAATACAAACCAAATTGTATTATAGAGATGTCTTTATTTTTCAGTACCTAGAGATGCTAAAACTTTGTAGAAGTTCATGTTTAAAAGTATAATATCTTTGTCTTAATAATTGCTTAAAATATTTTAATGTGCTTAGGTTGAGAGAGTTAAGTAAAAATATAAAGCGCACTTCTGCTGTTATAATCCAGTGCTAGAGGCTAACCAATTCATCTTGTGCTCAGAATTGGATGCTTTATCAGAAGGATCTAGGTTTTCATTGTAGAAATTATAAGGCAATTCTGTCTTTTTATAATCCAGGTTCTTTTAAAAATAATATAAGGAATATAACATTCAAAGTATTTTAGCTGACAATATTTTGATTGCATCTATGCAAACTGGTGGTTGTAACAAGTATAAATACCTTCTTATAGGCATGACAAAGAAAGAGAAGATCTTTATTGCTACTCGGGAAAAAGAAAAGGGCAATGAAGCCTTTGCCAGTGGAGATTATGTGGAAGCAGTGACATATTACACTCGGTGAGTAAACAGCACGTTCCTTTTTTTTAATAACATTTATCGGTGAGCATTATTTTGATAGCCATAGTGACAATTAGATTATTTTCAACAGGGTGAAAGGATTTTACAAAAGAATCCTTATAGCACTGTTGCATCCTGATACTATTTTTTATTTATTGAGAAGGTAGATCAGGAAGAAATAAGTGAATAGGGGTGGTACACAAATTTGCAGGTGTCACAAAGTTGTGCAAACTTTTCAAAACAATTGAGATTCAACAGCAGATGGACAAAAATTGAATGTTAAAGAATGTCTTGAGAAAACAGATTATTTAGAAATTAATTTGAGATAATTGTAAGGTATGATTATCTCAGCTTTTATTTTTAAAAACTGACTTAATAACCTATGCTTACGAGAAAGAAAAATAATTGTGTACAACTTAATCATAACTGTGTAATTAGTAGCAGTCCAAGGAAAAGCATATCATCTTAGTTTCAGCTGGGACAGAATTGTCTGGTAGGATACTGTGTTTTAGTTCTAGGAGAAGAACAATGCTGATAATAAACCAATGTTTATAGTTGCTGCTAAGCAATGTTGTACAGAGCCAAGGCCATTCTCATCAAAGGGCCCACAGGGCTGGGAGGGAACAGAATGAGGACAGCTGGCTTTAACAGGCCAAAGGGATATTCCATGCCATATGGCATCAAGCAGAAGCTGTTTTGAAGGGGATGGGAGTTCATCTCACTCTCTTCTGCTGCTTGTGGGCTAACTGGGCATGGGTTGGGAGATTGTGAACAATTGCTTGTGCATTACCTGTTATAAACATTTATATATATATATATACAAATTTATATTACATAATTATTATCCATTTCTCTATCTTAGTAATTTGTTTTATCTCAGTCCTTGAGTTCTACTTTGTTTTTCTGGATCCTCTCCCAAATCCTGCTGGGAGGGAAGGGAGGGAGAGAACAACGGTGTGGTGCTCAGCCACACAGGTTAAACCACAACTCATGTAGTCACTGGATTAAGAAAACAACAACTGAATCTTGCTTTTATTAGTGCTGTATTCTATTTCAAGTCCAGGATTTTGCATTTGCTGGGGGGTTTTTTTGTTTGTATGTATGTTTTTTGAGCTTGCTGTGAAGTTTGTCAGCTTGTTTCTCTGGTTTGTTAAAGCCTTTCTTGACTGGAGTTCTGCATTCCCTTTTATTATGGACTATTCCCCCTGCAACTGTGTATCAGAAGGAACTTCCTGGGAGTGTCTTCTGTTCCATCTTAGAGACTGTTGGTGTTAAGTTGTATTGGTCCTGCAGAGAGGCCTCTAGTAACTGGTCACCAGTTGGACTTTATGCATCTTGTCACAGTTCTTTGAGCCCAACAGTCCAGTTAGTTTTCTTTCTACCTTACTGCCCACTTAGATAGTCCACATTTTACCTATTTGACCATGAGGACACTGTTGCTTGCTTCTAGAATCTTAAACTCTACCATGTAATGGCTGCTGCAGCTAAAGTGCCCAGATGACCCAAAAGGCCAGTAACATCCTGGCCTGTAACAGAAATAGTGTGGCTAGCAGGACTAGAGGAGTGATTGTCCATTTATATGAAGCGCAGGTGAATCTGCACTTTGAATATTGCCTTCAGTTTTGGGCCCATCATTACTGGAAGTACACGGAGTTGCTCCAGCGTGTGCAGAGAACAGCAGTGAAGCTGGTAAAGGGACTAGAAAACAGGATTTGCATTCCCTTGTGACTGAGGAAATGGCATTGTTTCATCTAGAGAAAAGGAGGGTGGGAGGAGACTTCACTCTCTACAGCTACCTGAAAGGGAGGGTTGCAGCGAAGTGGGTGTTGGTCTCTTTTCTCGGGTGACACGTGACAGGGCAAGTGGAAATGATCTCAAGTTGCTCCAGGGAAGGTTTAGATTGGGCGCTAGGAATAATTTATTCATGGAGAGGGTGAGCAAATGTTGGAACAGGCTGCCCCACTGGTTTAATGATGAGACTTGTTAGGTAGGTCAGCTTGATGGCTGGATTTGGTGATCTTAAAGGTCTTTTCTAACCTAATCAATTCTATGATTTTTGATTCTCTAAAGGTATCATTTGACAGTTTGGTTTGAATCTATATGGATGAGCAGTGGTAGCCCTGAAGATAGTAAACATAGTTGGTGGATAATGGTCTCTCTTCTTGCAAGAAGTCCCTAACCACTTTGATTAAATTAGTATCAGCATGAATGTAACAATACTGTTTATAGATTCCAATAGTACATTGTTTCCATATTCAGACTTCCTAATGATGAGCCCAGCATGATCGATACTCTTTTGCAGGAGTATATCTGTACTGCCCACTGCAGCTGCATACAATAACAAAGCTCAAGCAGAAATCAAACTTCAGGATTGGGACAGTGCTTTGGAGGATTGTGAGAAGGTGCTAGATATGGAACCTGGCAATGTAAAAGGTAGAGTTAAATATAAATGTGTCTTTCTACGTATTATTTCATTCCTAGCAAATAAAATTGTTATTTGTATCCATTCATGTATGTTAGTTGCTTTCACTGAGTGGAGTTCCAAGTATGAAGAAGAAGGAAATTAGCTTCCCAAAGTAATTTCAACAGTATTTTGGGAGTCAGGGAAGTTTTAAGCAGTCTACTCTGTTGTTCCGTGATGGCTATTCTTAATGCAACAATGTGGAGCTAGCTTCTGTTTTTTATATGATAAGAATATACCCTCTTATATTTGTGAAGTTGTTTACACAAGTTGCACATTGTGAAGCATTAGTTACCTTAAAAGTAACATGAAAACAATGAAAGTTGCTGGTTTAATCCTTTTTTAAGGTAAGGGCTTGAGTGCAGCTAACAGTATTTGCATGTGAGGAGTGGACAAATTGGAAAAACATGAGAAGATGCTTCACAATGAAGCTGGTGAGGGGTCTGGAACACAAGTCCTGTGAGGAGTGGCTGAAGGAGCTGGGATTGTTCAGTCTGGAGAAGAGGAGGCTCAGAGGAGATCTTATTGCTCTCTACAACTGTCTGAAAGGAGGTTGTGGTGAGGCAGGGGTCAGCCTGTTCTCCCACGTAACTAGTGATGGGATGAGAGGGAACAGCCTCAAGTTCTTCCAGGGGAGGTTCAGGTTGGATATTAGGAAAAATTTCTTCTCCAAAAGAGTGGTCAGACACTGGAATATGCTGCCTGGGAAGATGATGGAGTCACTATCTCTGGATCTTTGAGGTCTTTTCAAATCTTGGTGATTCTGTGTCATGATTCCTATCTCAAAAGATGTCATGAAATCAGATTGCTAAAAACAGTGAAGAGAATCAGTAATACACTCATTATGAAGTAAATGCAGTAAACTTTAGAAATTGTTCAACACTTCATGTTTATAGAAAAATAATGAATAGTTATTCACTTTATGCTTTAAAAATGTATATAATACATGCTGTTCTTTTGTAGCTCTGTTGCGCCGTGCCACTGTTTACAATCAGCTGAAGAATTACCAAGCAGCTATGAAGGATCTGAACACAGTGTTATGCATTGAACCAGAAAATGCTGTAGCTAAGGTAAACATAAATGACTTGCACGTGACTTGAAAAACATTGTAGGCAGTTGTAGAATAGTGCTTATCATTTATATTATTTGATTTGAATCTTAATTTTGAGGACACAATTATCTACTGTGCCAATGTTCGGTTTCCCCAGACCACTTAGGTGCCTGCGGTAGAAAGTAGGTACCTGAATGTGACCAAATCTTCTTGTACTTAGTTGTGAGAACCTGTAGGTGCTGAAGTCTTCTGTATTAAAGTAGTCCAGGAGCCTGACATATAGCTGCTGAACATGCTCACAGTGTTAGTGCACTGGCAGAAATTTCTGTCAAAAAGATTCACTGGGATAAATACACTTGAAGTTTGATATGTAATTCACAAGAAGAATTCAAAAGAGATGCCAAACTTTTATTGTTGTGGTGGTAAAGCTAACCTGAAAGGAGAAGACCTAAGTTCTGTCTTTACTTCAGTGTGTTCAATGTTATGAATCTTATTTCTCATCTCCAGGCTGGGAAAAAGAGACAAACAAACAAACCTTGCGTACTTTATGAATAGGCACCAAGGAAAACTGAATGTGGTACTGAATGAGTTCTTTGCCTCGGTCTTCACTGGTGGCCAGGATTCCAGTACTTCTCATTTCCATAAGCCCTGCATCCCTAAACCTCTGGGTGTGGACTGGGGTGGTAAATCCCCCCCCTCTGTGAGGACAGAGCAGGTCCGAGACTGCCTCATGAGACTGAATGTGTACAAGTCTATGGGGCCGGATGGCGTGCATCCCAGGGTTCTGAAGGAGCTGGCTGAGGTGGCTGCCGAGCCGCTCTCCATCATATTTGAAAAGTCGTGGCTGTTAGGTGAGGTCCTGGATGACTGGAGGAAGGGTCACGTCACTCCCGTTTACAAGAAAGGGAGCAAGGAGGACCCCAGGAACTACAGGCTGGTGAGTCTCACCTCTGTGCCTGGGAAAATCATGGAACAGATCATCCTGGATGACATGCTTCATCACATGAGGAATGGGCGTGTGATCTGAGACAGCCAGCACGGTTTCACCAGAGGAAGGTCATGCCTGACCAATCTGGTGGCCTTCTATGATGGAGTGACGGCATCGGTGGACAAGGGAAAGGC